TGAAACTATGGAAAATACTGGAAAATTATGAAGTTTTGGGGAAATTTAAAAAACATCATTAATCAACGACCCTTAAGGTAAACCCAAAAACAACTAAAAAAATCGTCAAAGCTTTCCCAGCAAAGGAACTGAGTTACTGTGCCAGTGCGTTGGGTTGGCGCACCAAGCTTTGCATAGCACTGCGCCAACTCCCGGAGTTACCCAGGCCTACCTGGAAGCATTCGAGGGCGGTTACTTCAGGTGTGCATCCGCACAGCTCTGAAAGGTCTATGCTCGAATTTCGGCTATTGTTCAGTTTGAGGACGTGCAGCTGCTTTCCAGACGCGCATAGAAAGTTCCGTAATTCATCATTGTTTCCTGCAAATTCATCAATTACTTTCCTCAGCTTTTCGCTTGTGTGTGAAGTCACCCCGAGTCAGTTTCAAAGCATGCAAATGCTTAATTTGGCCCAGACCACTGACTACTCGCTCTTGCGGACAGTTGAAATGGGCGTTGTCCAAAAAAGGAGCCGTCCAGGTAATGGCGTTTAAAATATTAACATCGCAATCAGTCGTATGGAGGTAGGTGAGTTTGGTGCGGAAGTTGTCGTCTTTTTTGAACAGATGCAAAAGAGCGTGGCCGGTAAACGAGTACGTTTTCAGCACGTTGAGGTTCGGGAGTTGCTGGATTATTTCCGCGACGAGCTCGGGGCCATTTGTCCCGTCCGGGCATAACTCCGGCTTGCCGAAACTGCCAATGTCCAAAATTCTCAAGCTGTCGCTCCTCAACAGGCTGGAACAAAGGGAGCGTTCAAGCTCGACCACAAGCTTTGCATGTACGCACACACCGAATCGCCGCACTGGAATAGCAAGCCTCTCCAGATATATCCAGCTTTACTAAGCCCTTAAGACTAAGTATAGTGTTTATCACAGAATCGTCAGACATGTGCGGAATTATCAGGGTTCTGAGCCTCTGCAGGCCGAGGACGAGATCTCCCAAAAGTTGCGAATAGTCTCTAGCCCACACTCCTTTCAAGTTCAGGTAGTTCAGGCCTTTGCCCTGTTTGCGAATTGTTGCTGGAATTTTTTCGGTTGAGTTGCAACCGCGAGATGATTTGTTAACTTACTCAATATCTGGTCGTAGTAAAAGCGCGGAAAAATTCCTATTTCGAGGTGCTTTACATCAGGCCTTAGCAGCACTTGTAAGCAGCTGAATCTGATGTTTGCGTCCAGATTTATCATTCCTGAAATCGCCACTTTCCAGTAACAACGCAACAATTAAGCACGAAACTGACCAAGAATTTCGCCTAGCAGAGCCTGCAATACATCATAAGTGGCCGAATTCATATAGACCTGCACTTCATCCAAATGCTTAACTTCCTCGTCGCTTAGAGCGTTTATCAGTTGATTGGAGAGCCATTTTAAGCAAAACACATTCAGAGTGGCCGGCTGCTTTTTCGGAGACATTCTTCGACCTGGAAGTTGCCTGCTCGACTTTGTTTTCCAACGATAATTGACTTACGTTTAATTTTCCAACGAAAACTTATTCACTCAACGCCTTCAGCAATATTCGGTTCTTCGAGGGGCGATGTTTCATTGGCTGTCACCATGGACAATCTTCGGCAGGCACTAAACACCATTCTTTGTTTGGATTGAAGCACAAAAATGTCATCAGCTGCTCGTAACAACATGACTGGCCAGTGCCAGACAAAAATAAATCCAGACAATAATTTCGTGCGTTAAAAATAGACTATATGCGTCTAATTTTTGTGAATTATCGGTATATTCTCGATAAAACCACCGAGTTTTAGGTGTTTTGTTGTGTGCAGAGCCAGATGCTTTCGGAGAATCTGGAAAGATTTAACGAGGTTGAAACCGCGCACTTTTTCCACCGTGTATAGTTTTCAGCACGAATGTTTGAAAAAATATATTCCCGTGTGAATCAAGCAAAATGATGGGTTTTGCCCATCATTTGAAAATAAATTCTCGTCGTTTGTTAAAATTTCTTCCTGACGTTTCGCAAGCACGAGTGGCTTGCATCTTCAGAAGTGGTTTGCTTGAACGCTTACACTGTTCTCATCAGAACCCGTTCAG